AAGAAAGAGCAATTAGAGTTGCTTCTGAATAAAGATAGAATATTTGTAAACTGGTCTGTTATACTAAAAACAATCAAGATAGTGAGTTTTGACACTGAAACTTCATCATATCTAGTTTTCAGGGTTATATTCAGTCCAATTATTTGTATTTCTTCATTTTTACTCTGTGGATTGAAAAAATAAAATTAAATGATATTAGAATATTGTTACAAAATTTTAAACTACAGAATCATATTCAGTATTTAGCTTTTAACTCTATCATGGTAAGAATGCAGTTCAGAACAGAATTTTTATTTCTAGAAAGTGTTTTTTGCAACTGAAAGTGATACAAGTTATTCTTAGCTAAATATATTTTCAAATATATTGTTTTTGAGTGAATTACCTCACATTTTCTGGTTATTACATGTGCATGCCCTACATAGAAGTAATAATATTAAGAGTTTAAATATATTGTAAAGATAATTTGTCCAGTCTTTGGTGAGATGAAATGACAATTTTCCGTTGATGAACATGACAAGTCATTTCTTTCAATGACGAAAAATGTCTTCAGCATAATATTGCAGCTAAGACACTTAAACTTTATGTGATACAGCACACTAATAGAAGGTATCTCCCATTCATTATGCAAAGAATTGAACTACTGCTTCTCCACCCAAAGGAGTATATTCAGTTTACATTTTTAATAATTCTTTTGCTTATGATATAGTCCTTTTCTGATCTTTTTGAATGGATGTATTTCTAATAAATGATTTAATAAACAAAAATTGTATGTTCTTGCAAAATGTTGTTATCTTGTATTGAAGGATCTTAAGCCCAGTGTTGACACAGGCCATCAACAGGCACAATACTGTCATCACACTCCCTCGTTTTGTATGAAGTCATGTCTCAACACACATAAAGACATTTCATCATATTCTGTCAATCATATCCTAATATTATTTGGTTACATCAGAACTCATTAGTACATAAATGATAGAGAAAACTGGGTGTTTTTATTAAGTAAAACACTTAAGTACGGAAAAGCAGAAAAAAAAATAGTCTTCTCTGAAAACAGAAAGAAATATCCCTTTTTTGGAAATTGGTATTATAAACACACTTGTGCACACACATGCACACCCCCATGCATATGGTATGTGAAATACATATACACATATGTGTGGAAAATGCTTGTTTGATTTTGTCTGCATTGTTGTTAGCCTTCCTGCTATAATTTAGGAAAATCAACCTTTGAAAATGATAATATCCATTTTTTTCCTTAAAAAAGAACTCACTGTGTTTTGTAAAGATACATAAAGTTCCAACAAAATGAGTCTTCTTGTTCACCTATAAACTATTTTTTGGTAATCAATGAGACATGAGTATTCAGGAAACACTTGACTTGAAAGTGAATGAATTATTTAAGCCAATGATATCTTCCAACATATCTGTATGTACAATCAAACCCAAGGACATGGTTATGGTATAAATTTTCTTTTCTTATCCTTTCCTCTCCTTTGAGAAAGGGTCTTGCTCTGTTTCCCAGAGTAGTCTAGAACTCCTAGGCTGGAACAATCGTCTTATGACAGCCTTAGGAATAGCTGGAACTATAGGCATGTGCCGCATTGCCTGGCTTTAATAGATTTCTTAGTATGAGGCTTATAGGTGACTACATGACTCAGTGATTATATCAGGTAGGATGCTTTAGACAGCATGTAATAGATAACTCCAACAAAAACTGGCTTAAAAATAGGGAAATTCTAATAAGTGACAACAGTAGATGTAAATGTTAAGGCACTATTCCCAAATTTGCAAACAATTCTCCAGGCTCTCTGAAGGTAAAGATAAAAGCTTTATTTCCTACTGGGGCTCACAGTGCAGAGAACCAAGCAGTTCTGCAACCCTCGACCCCAGCTGGAGGTAGGAATATTCTTATGAGGCCTAAAATCACAAAGAAAGGGTGGCAGGAGAAGCAGTCATAATCATAAAGTATATTTCTTACAAATGGAAAATTACAAAAATAGAGTCATATAGTCATATTCTCAGAAATTACATTCTCAGAAAAACAATTTTGCATTAGTCCCATAGAGCAAAGATATTGTGGTCAGGGTGTAAGTAGGTAGGGCTGGAGGTGTTTGCTTCTATGCAAGTGGGCTCATGTGGAAAGGAGGCCAACTTTACACAGAGGTATCTGAACAAAATGGGGTAAGTCTGGGTTGATTTTTCAGATCAGCCTATAACATAAGACACAATGCAAATACTTTACATGAAGTAATTCTTTTAATTCCCACAAAACCTAAGATGAATATTGTTATTACTCCCATTGTAGATGAAGAAAATGAGACATACAGAGAAAGTAAATTGTCTTAAAATATGTTCAGGTAGTAAGAGCAAAGCCAGGATTTGTATTATATGTTCTGGCTCTAAAATCTGACTGTGTAGAGAGTATACTCCACTGCCTCTCACATGACAAGAATTCCATAGGTTAAGTGAGATATAGGTGCAAGATGATCTCGAACATAGTGATGCCTTCTCTGTCTTGCCTTTCCCGTTGTTGGCATTACACTAGGACCAGTTTCCCATATAATTGCAAGATTGCCAGTGTAAGGGTTAATTTACCTTTGTTTATATCCATATAAAGATAGGGAGACAGAGGAGTACATCTTTTTTGGGTAGGAAAATAAGATCTTCCTGTTTGTCTGGTTGTACCATTATTGGTAGTGTGCCTACTTCCGAATAAATAACTATCATCAGGGTATGTCAAGATCTCATTTGGAGGTTTGGATGGGGTAAATACCTAAATGCCATCAGATATCTATTTTGAAGAAGGAAAGGGGCTGCTTCAGTTAAATGAATATATTGAAGCTTTTCACACTAGTTTACTTGACAATTTATTTCTATCTTTGGCATATTTCATTAATTGATATTTGACAAAACTATGTAGTATTTAATTCATTCAGCAAATATAAATTTTGACTTTTCTATATTATAGGGCATTCCTGGGATCCGTGGAAAGAAGGGTGTTAAAGGAAGACAGGTAATTTGATTCCTTTTTCTTGAAGTTTAGTATAGAGCAATATAATCTAATTTTGTGGTTTTGTTCTTATTAAAATATGAATACATTTTGCTTTTGTTGTTGTCATGCATAATCCATCTCATTCAAAAAGTTTAATTTTTTTGCTACTTTGTATATCATGGGGGTACTTAAGAATGTAAAAGAAAATTTAGATTTAAAAATAACTCTAAATTTAATACTTCTAAATCCATTTACTATATCAGTGGAGAAACCCTTGTCTCTCTCTTTCTTTCTTTTTTTTTTTTTTTTGGTTGGTGATGGGGGGGTGTCCAGGGATTGAACTCAGGGTCATTTGACCACTGAGCCACATCCTTAGCCCCATTTTGTATTTTATTTAGAGATAGGATCCCACTGAGCTCCTTAGCACCTGGCTTTTGCTGAAGCTGGCTTTGAATTTGCCATCCTCCTGCCTCAGCCTCCCAAGCCATGGGGATTTCAAGTGTGTGCCATTGCACCCGGCCCCTTTGTCTCCTTTGAAGGAGCTAAAATGTCACAGAAAATGTGTGAACAGCTTGGAACACCAGTGGTAGCACTATTCAACCTATTCCTACACAAAGAGATGTCTTAGAAACTTAACCTCATGTTCTAGAGGTTTCTAAAATGCCTGTTTCAGCTGTTAGTTAAGACTGGGTTGCAACAGCTTTTTATATTTCCAGATTAAAAAAAATTAAAGGAGAGTGAATTTACTAGGTAATGTAATACTTTCAGAAATGGGAGAAAATTTTGACATAATTAAGTACTGTGCTATTTAAAAGATGAGAAAAGTGGTCCAGACAAGTTGTCCTAGCTAAGTTAGTTGTCCTTGCTCAGGTTGTCCTGCCTAAGTTAGTATAGATAATTATCCACCTGCTTTCCACTGTGCAGTTTTTATTGACACTTGAATGCATTTTCTAGGGTAAGCTGCCAAAGGCTGCATTGTTTTCTGTAGTTTATGAGGATAAAAATCAAGTTTTTATAACCATATTTTTAGAACTTTGGAATACACCTGAATAAAATTTTAATGATTACAAAAAATGGATATAAGTGTTTTCAAATATAACTTCTAAGGATCCAAATCTATTACAATGCATATTTTAAAGCAATGACACATTGAAAACTTTAAAGAAAAGTACCAATAAAAGGCCTAGTAATAATTTCATTTGCTATTTTTTCCACAGTTTTCTTGGATTCTATTTTTGAATTCTATTAGGTAATTTTATAATTCCCTGTTATAATTTGGATTTGAAATATCTCCCAAAGTTTCATATGTTGATGACTTGGTCCCCCAAATGCAGCCATGTTCAGAAGTGGGGCTTTTGGAAATGATTGGATCATAATGGTTATGATCTCATCAATAGGTTAATTCATTTGTGGGTTCATAATTGAATAGATTATTGGATGGTAGTGGAAATTGTAGGAGGTGGGGCTCAATTAGAGGAAGTAGGTTAGAGGGCATGCCCTTGAAGGGTATATCTTATTTCTGACCTCTTTCTTTCTCTCTGTCATTCTCTTTCCACTTTCTAGCTGCCATGATGTGAGCAGCTTCACCATATCCTCTCTACCAGAATGCTCTGCCTCACCACAGGCCCATAGCAATGGAGAAAGATGATCATGATTGAAACCATGAGCCAAAATAAAATCTTTCTTCCCCTTAGATGTTTTTCTCAGGTATTTTGTCATAGTAAGAAACAGGTATAAAAAAATGGCAGCTATGTATAACCTATCTATAATAATCTATAATATTTAAATCATTTTACATGTTATCTTTGGAGCTTTGTAATATTCCTTAAAGATAGAGTATGTGGGAAAATGAGGTTCAGAGATATTAAAAGATTTTCTCAGAGTCACATAGTTAAAAATGTTCAATAAAGAATTGAGCATAGCTCCTCTGAATGTTAATCCAGAATCCTTCCCCTAACTGCTAGATATTTTTGCTCTCTGTCCTCTGCTTATACTATTTAGAAGAGTCATGAATTATTTTTTATGGTATTTGGACAAAATATGATACAACTATTTTAAAATTTCACTTTGAGGATTTTAATATGTTAGAGATAAACTTAACCAAACTATCAAGAATACAAAACAAGTCAAACATTTTGTTTTCCTGCTTATGCAATCAACTTAAAAGTTGGTTTTATAACAGTTATGAAAGTATTGTCATCATGAGCATCATCACCACTGTTTTTATTCACAAGCACTATTCTAAATATTTTATATGCTATCTTTTAAAAATTATACTCAAATATGTTGGTATGTTCTTTACAATTTAGTCTATGTATGATATATAAATTTATATTATATATAAAATCTTCCTCAACAGAAATACCTCTCTTCATATTACATATAAAATTCCTAATATAAATAAGAAGGTCTGGGCCTTTTTCAAATTGACGTTAGAGCAATATTACCTTTTTTATTCTTTTTCTATCCATTCTGTGTCTTGTAAGTTTTTCTATCCTCTTCCTATCAAATCATGCCATTAATTTTAAAAAAACTAAGAAAATAATTTATAATAATTTATAAATTACTTCTAGTACTTAAATCCTACCTTCCTTATTGTAATTAAAGTATATACAATCTTAAGATGAACCAATCTGCAATAGGGAATTGTAGACATTTGAGTAAATCAAATATTTTTGCAAAGCCCTAGTTATATATCACTTAGGTAGTCACCAATTTCATTTACTAATGACTTGATCTTATGTACTGATTCATCTTCAGGATCTCTGTCTCTATATTGAAGTAATCTTTTCATTTCTTGTATTTTATCTTTGATTTTATACTTATATCATATTTTACCTCATGGATAGGCTTACCTATGAACTTTCTAAACTCATTCTCTAACATTTCCTCCATTGTGATGTCAGTGGAGTCTGTTCTTGAGGCATACTGGGATGGTTAGGGATGCTTTTCTATATTGTTTGTGTGTCTACCCATCTATCTGAATGGATCTGAAGGAGCAGAGCTTTTACCCTACAAACCTGTAGTGACCTGTTGGTCTCTAGTACTTCATAAATTAGAGGAAGCCAAATAATAGTGATGATCTATGTAAATAATATATATCCATAAACTAAGTACTTAATTCCTATTATGACATATATAATGTTAATTGACACAATAAATAGAATTGGTGGAATCAGCAATTTCTGTCAGTAATAACAGTAAATGATCAGGTATTGTGTCTGGCATAAAATCAAACATTTTATTTAAATTATATTTGATTTCCACAGTATTAATTATTATTATAGCATTAGTGGTGTGCTCTGGCATTATATAAATCAATTAATGATGAAAGATTTCAAGAGTAGAGTTAATTAAGAGGAAAGATGAAGAGAAAGAGCTGGAAAGGGTTCACAGTTTCAATTGGTGAATGTGGGAAGTGCAAAAGTAAGTAGGATGCGATAGAGGAGCAAGGAGAAAAAATAGAAGTAAAAAATTAAAATAAGAGTGAAAGAACAATAGAATTTGGCTGTTAGCAAGAGAAAAGGGAGAAAGAGAAACAAGGGGAACAGAATAGTACAGAAGACAATACAAAAAAATTGAAATAATCAAAAACTCACTCAACAGACAGAGCAAAGAAAAATAACTACCTTCAGAAAATGCTAGAAATAAGAAAATAGAAACATATATATGTCATTGACTCATTCAGCATGCTAGGAAAAATAAAAGAATCTTGATGAAAAACTAAGGAGTCATTTTTGTTGTGGTGAACACAAAAGTCAATGAGAATATATGTTCACTGTCTTTGCCCAACTGGTTTTCTTTCCATTTCTCTTTCTTCTTGAGGTATATACTGGTACAAGATTAGGGAACATGGATTGTCAACTCCTTTCTTTTTATTGTGTTGCTTACCAAGATGCTGTTGGACTTCAAAAACCTTTGCTTCCCTTCTGGGTAGTAAGATGAAGTTTCAGATGGGAAATGCTCTCAGCTCCTCTCCAGGGTGAAGCTGCAGCTGGGTTTTGTGAAGTGTTAGTGAAGGAGGCACTCTCAGGGTGGAGCTTAGGTCTACTGAGGCCCCAAGTGCTTTATTGAGAAGAATTTAAATCAATGCACCCTTAGAGCCCATCAGATGCCAAACTGTGCTGGGAGACCATACCCCAGGATCCTCCTCAAGGATCCACTCCTAGAACAAGGGAGTTCCCTCCCGCTTGCCACTTCCATTGCTCACAGGTATCTTCTCAGCCTCTTGGGTTCCATTCCCAAGTACAATCACACCTCAAACCTGCCAATTCAGGCATTTTTGTTTTGTTTTGTTTTTATTGGTACTGGAGATTGAACCTAGAGCAAATCCCCAGCCCTTTTTTCCATTTTATTTAAAGAAAGGATCTCACTAATTTGTGTAGTTCCTTGCTAAGTTGCTGAGGCTGACTTTGAACTCATGATCCTCCTGCCTCAGCCTCCCAAGTCACAGGAATTACAGGTGTGCACCACTGTGCCTGGCTTTTCGGCTTTTTGGCTCACTGCAGGTGGTTCTATGTTCTTTACTGTGTCTCAGGTTCTCCCAGTGTGGATGCACCTGTCCATTCATATTCTCAACCTGCTTCCTTTCCAGCCTCTTCTGAGCACAGATTTACCCAACCTCCCTGACTTGTATTCCCCAGAGCAAAATACTCTCATACCTAATTTTCCCCAAATTTTGCTAGGCTCCATTTATTTCATGTGGCTGGTGCCTGCCTGCCTGTGCTGTGTATTTGAGCTAGCCCTGTTTTCCCAAAATCAAGTTCTCGGTTCCTGTATCTGCCAGCTGTGGCAGTGTGTTCAGCTCAATGTGGCCCCTGCCTCAGTTCTCCATGGACAATTCCCTTTATATTTTTGAGACATGGTTTCAATAACTTGCCCAGGCTGGCCCCAAATTTTCAGAGTGCCTGCCTCAGTTGCTGGGATTTCAAGTTGCAGGGATTAAGAGCATGCACCATTCCTCTTGTCTCCCCCTTAAATTTTCTCTTATTATAAACAAAATTCTCTTCAATTTTTTCATT